GACTCAAGTACTCCTGTGATTAATCACTTACACTTTTTGTTTATTTGTAATTTATTCAGCAGAAAACAGGAATAAAGAGGTTTCCTAGGAAGCAGGGGAGTAGTAAGGTTTCAGATCATGAAACAGATGCCTCTAACTGCAAGTCACAAGCATCCTAGGAAATAGCACTCCCTCTAACATTTATTTGAAATCCAAGATGAAATCATCCCTATCCAACACCAGAGCCCTTCTGGTGCCCAAACGTTTTGCAGTTCTACCAATAATTTGGCTTTGGTGATCTCAAACTGTAGCGGATGCTGGGGCTATGAATACCTCTGCTACTTTCCCCCTCTCGTCCGAGAGGAGGACAGCTGTTTTATTTTGCTGTATCACTTTCCAATTGCTAGGGTGGCTGTGCTTGACCTCAGCAGTGGTACTGGGGATTGAATCACCGTGTCTGTGTTCCAGAGTCAATCCTGACATGCTATTCCACACCTCATCAGTGAATGCCCCGTTTTCCTTTAGTCTGTTCTGCAAAAATAATCAGATTTTCATTACCTACCGAGTTAAATCCCTACAGAGCTAGGTGAAAGCAAAGTTTCCAAAGAGACATTTTGGCTAACAGCTGCTTGGAGAACACGAATTCCCTTTAAAGCTTCTCTACCATGTCTAAAATAGCATGCCAAAGATATCCTCCATAAAAAAAATAAGTTAAACTTACCCTCTTTTCCTCTATAAAAGAACTGGGCTAAAGCTGTGTGCATTCAGAGCTAGGACATTAGCTATTAAGCGACAAAGAACTGTCTAATCTTTGATAACATCTTGCATAGAAAGCAATTCTGAGAAGCCTTAAAGGAAACTCTGCTCAGATCAAAACATTAAATTACACGTATAGGTATCCTGGCTACAATATGGTTTAGACATTATTTGGTATTGAACAGCCAACTGAAGACATTCTGTACTAGCTTTTCACCATCATCTGCCCAGCTGACGTTGGTTTTCACCTAAAAGAGATGCAGCGAGCACCATCTACAGGGTTTCTGAGCACACACCACCTCAAACTCCCCTAATGACGCAGGCAAACTCTTCGCTGTTGCTTTATGCTTTAGTTCCAACTGAAATTACCACCTGCCAGCAATGACTAACAGCCTCACGCAAGGTACAATTTAAAGCTATCAGTGAGAAATGTACAAACTGCCCTACAAGTTCGCTCCAATGCAAACATCTAACACACACGCTGCTGGCTGGAAGCTGATACTCCAACTAGCAGCACTAAAGCCACCCAGCAAGAACGTTGTTTTGCTCCGTGTCATTTTGGAGATGCAAAGGCTAGAGACATATAATTTTTCTTTGCTATCAACTTTATGATGTCAGAGCACGTTCAAAAAAAGCAAAGTTTTCCTCAAAAGTCATTCTTAGAACTAAACAGTTGATTTAACAGTTTGGTCATCTAAAAACTTTTAACCCTAAATTGCCTGAACTTTTGATATTGTTTCTGTGGGAATCACATCTCACCGTTCATTTTGCTCAGGTCATAATGAACCACAATTCATTTTCCAGTGCCTAGGGACCTGGTACATCAGAAAAGATGGGTCCACCCATGCTAACAGATAACTAAAATCTCCTAAGTCCAAAATTCTGTGTCATTTGTGCTTCAAGTTACCTATAAATTGTGGTGGTAGGTTGTTTGGGGTTTTTTTGTATACTCATTTCTTTGCTAATTCAACTTCTGATACAATCCATGCCTGAGGCCAGACCCCTACCATACAGCTGATTAGGGTCAAAACCCCTCACTATCTGTGGAGAAGACACTTCAGAGAAAATATTCTTATCCTTGGCAAACACTGAATATTTGCATTCCAATGATGACTGTCAGTTTCTTTAAAAATAACCGATTCCCAGAAGCTCCAACTGGGAAAACACAAAGCAAGCAGCCATACAACTGAGACCAACAATGTAACAAACCCCAGAAAAACCCCAAACCCACCCCACCATCCCCACAAAAATCCCACCCACCCACTCCCCCTTCCATTGGCGTGACAGCTAACCCGTCCATAAACTGATCTGAACAGAGTAAGAGCAAAATGACTTCACCAGCTTTACTTGCAAGTAGTAAGTAGGAGGGAGCAAGGCACTAAAATATATCATTCACTTAGAAACAAACTTGCCAGGTTTTGAATTTCTGCAGCACAAATTGCAGCCTTGAGTCTGCGGTCAAAGACAAGAGAAATTCTCCACGGGAGCCTGGCTTCCACCTTACTGTTGTTTCCAGCTTTTGACTCCGATTCACAGGCTTGGATTTCTTGGAGGATCATGTGTTCTGGAAAACCCGTCGGAGGCAGATTAATTGTTGGACCAATGGCGATGAAAGAAAAATACTGCAGCATCTGCTTCAACAGATGCTTCTTCAGAAACATTTTAATCCATGTTATATAACACGTTTTTCTAGATTTTTTTTTTGCTTTCTTTCATTCAGTGAGTCACACTCGAGCATGTCAAGCTCCTGTCACCTTGATATGTCTCATGAATTCAACACTTGACTTAAGCTTTAAGTTTCAGACCCGAGTGCTTGAAAAGACATGAATGCATTGAAAAGTCTGAAGAGCCAAAAGGACATGTGGAAGAGGATGAGCATGAGCAAAACAGAACCATTCTAACACCAACCCTACACAACTCCCATAATTATTTGTTTTTTCTCCTTTTGAGACTTTTAAAATTTCAGTGATAATGCTGTAAATATGAAGGTAACAGAACAGTGCCTCCCCAAGTCTGAATAGCTCCAGTGGCCCTGCTTTTACTTCAGCAGTGTTCAGGAAAAGCAAGAATAAAGTGAGCGACACTAGAGCAGCTCCTAAGATCTGGCCAGTCTTGGTTTTGCAGTTATCCTCACAGTGCTACACTACATCTAAGGAAAGAAAGGGAGAGAGTCATCAGTTTTGGGGTTCTTCACATTAAATGCTCCTTCTTGACTCAGCAGTGTTAGGTTTATGGTTGGACATTATGATCTTAAACATCTTTTCCAACCTAAATTATTCTATGATTCTTATATATGCCATTAACCAAAGGCAGGGTGAGGAAAAGCTTGGATTAGATTAACTCCTCAACAAGTAAAAACTTCTCTCATCAGAAAGTATGGCAGCAGAACACGAATTGTCTGGATGGATGAAACACAAATATCAATTAAGTGGGATATATTATAAGATATGAAAACAAAAAGGAAAAGATGATAAAAAATATTATTAAATAGGATAGGTAAGAAATTGATCAGAAAAGCTAAAGAGATCAAAGAAAAATATCTACTGAACAAAGTGAATGACAAGTTTATAGATCAGAAACAGAATCAATGAGATGAAAACAAAGTCACTTGTATTGAAAAGCAAATATACATAGTAAATTTTTCTTTTCCAAATTTAAAAGGAAACAAAATTATGTGCTCACATCACATGCAGGTCACTAAAACTAGCAGCTGGCATTCATGGATGACGTTAAACGGTATCTACTATTTACAGCATTTTCAAAGTCAACAGGCCCAAATAAACATGTTGGTCCTAAGATAAGATCTAACCTAACTGGATGAGATCTCCGATTAGAATAGCATAGGAATAGTCCCTTTATTCCCTTTCTAAATCTGAGACTCAGTGAAACTGAGTTCCAGCATTATGGAAGTGTCCGTAGACTAAGACTACACAAGAGGAAGATGCAGGAAGACACATGTAATTAAGCAGTTGGCAAGGATTGTTGGATTGGGGAGGGGGGGAGATAAAATTTCATTTAACTTCCCATGAATCAAGAATGATTGTAACATTTCACGTGACAAGACTTACCCCCCGCTCCTTAGAGTCAATGGCAAAGTTATTCAGAGGGATTACGAATAGAAACAATTTAAACACAGATACAGATGAGCTCTGATGTGGATTCAACTTGTAGCACTACAGGATATTATAACTAAAGGGGTCAACAACATGTAATATCAATAAAGTGCATCAGCCAGTTCTTTATCCAATTAATCGAAATATCTAGTAGTGCAATATGGAGGAATTCTGCAAGATCAACACAAAGCTTGAAATTAAGCTTGTCAAGTAACGTTATTGTTGGTAAAAGAAAATATATAATCAAGAATAGAAAACAAAAAGGGAAAGGTTGATCACACCAAAAACCCCTCAGAAACCTGCTCATAAAACTCCACCTAGCAAACAACTCCAAAAACCGCTTATGACCAACTGCACACAGCTCCAAGTATGGAATTATATCAAGACGTCGTGTCAAATTCCAGTCAGAAGGAAGGGATGTTTTTTGTGTTAAGAATAGTTGATTCTTAAGAAAACTATCACAGACAAGGAAAATATTCTCCAGATGCTCCCAGCTGAGGCTCAAGTTATTCATCCCAGCGTGGGGATACAAAGGTAGTTTAAGGCTCTGCAAGAAATTCAAACCAGACAATCTAAGAGGTAGAGCAGATAATCCTCGACAAATTCCATCCATTAATTTCACTAGAAAATCTTCCACGGACAAGTATTGCAAAGTTGTAAGAAAAACATTGCATGGATTCTCTTTTGCTAGACACCCTATGACAGATGAGAAGATATTTGACATAAATTATTCAGAAATGCAACAGGCTTCTGTCCTTAGAATCTCACTTTGACGAAACCACGTATGAATTAAAGAAGCATGGCTTTTTAACATTTCCAGATTAAAGTAACTGCACCCAACTTGTCCTTGAAGAAAATTATACCAATAGTCCTCAAAAAAAAAAAATTGAAAACATTGTATAAAAATAAATTTATTACCCAACAGTGGAAACAGGAATTTATTCACTATCTTCAGCATTCACAGAGATTCTCTTCCTTGATGGGGAAAGAGAAATACGTATCATCAGGAATCCACGATGAAAACATGCAGATGACAGTAACATCAAACACTTTGGGAGGAAACCCCTTTAAGTTGAGTATTATAGGCAGGCACTGAAATATTTTATATTACTATTAACTTACAGATATCTTTTTCCACATTTTAAAATACATCTATTGTTTTACATCCTGTGCCAATATTCCCCTCTCTGTCAGAGTCTTTTTTGTTGTTTTAAGTTTGAGTGTTTCAAATCTGCATTCCTGATGAACTGTTGTTACGTTCTCCTGGAACCAAGAATGCATATATCCATTGTAGAAGTCAACTGCTGTAAGCTTCTTCTTTAATACGACTGTTTTGATTCCGATCCAGCCTTCCTAAAAATAAAGACAAAAAATTGGCAGTAAGCTTCTTCCACGTTTTAAAATGATCATCTTTAGTTCTTACTAGGTTAGCTTACAAAACGTATTTTATTTAATGTCATCAAGTGTACATTACAAGTCAAATATTTGCTTGCAAGTGAAAAGCCTGTGAGTCAAAATTAAAAGTTCTTCAAGGTATCCAAAAAAAAAAAAGACTGATGCTAATATACACTAGTTCAGCAAATAACAATGGACAATTGAGACAAAAGTTATGTAACAGACCAATGCTAGAAAATTCATCTTTAGGGCAGTGAATATGAAACAAAGGGGGAAAACCCACCTTGCAGCGAGCTATCAGCATTTGGGATGCTTTATGGTATAGTAGCAAACCAGGAACAGCTCCATGGTTGTTTAATACTCGATCTAAAAGCAAAGAAAGATTGTCTTGCATCTTTACGCCAACAAGTACAAAAAAGTTTGAAACTCTTAGGTCTCTCTGAGGCATGATAATTGTCTTGAGTCACTATTTCGCTCAAAAATATTTTATTATACCCAAATGAGCAGGGGAGAATCAGAACAGTCACTCTCTGGCACTGCTGCTGATCTGATCCATAAACAGCCATTAAGCCCTGGGTGCTTTGGCACACTGCTTGGCCCCAAGGCTTCCAGACTCTCAAACTACGACGGAAAATGCTTTAAGCGATACTACACAGGAAAAGCTTTCCTCGTGAGAGATCCCCAGACAATGGCATTAGAAGATCTCCTAACTCATTTGAGGATTAAAATCCTCCAATCTCAGGATTCACAGGACTAAACCCGCTGCTCACTCAAAGCTATTGTTTAGTACAATTGTGTACGATGTCCGAAACAATGTTTGAAAAGGCAGGAAAATTTAACTTAAATTAATTTAAAAGTAAATACCAGCAAAACCAGGGATATTATCCACTTCCACAAAATCCAGAAGTTTAACAGTAGTACCCTTCCAGAGTGTCTGCAAAGGAAACTGGAAACAGAAGATGACACAATATTTTCACAATTTCCAGGTTTTTTAATCATGCAAGATACCTGTGATAATAACACTAGGGGAAAATCTACATATATGTCTAGATAAGAGACTTTCCTTATTATACCTAGTTTTCCTTGTTCTTCCTCATCTCACTGACATGAGAGCGATATGTATATGCAGCAATGAGTTAAGCAACTAACTACAATAGCTGTTTGCACTGCTTACTGTCACGCAAAGATGTTACAGCGTTCTGCAACCCTCTCAAATGCATCAGTGGGAATCTGAGCTAAGGAAACGATACAAAACTATTGAGCTGATTTCACACTTGGGATCAAGTTCATGAAAATCCTCCTCCACATTAATTCTACCTCGGATTTTAAAACACATGCTAGGTTTTAGAGGTTAAAATAGCTAAACTTGAGGTTTAGTCATTACTTAAAATATCCACACCAAACTCAGACATGCCAGAGGATAGAAAAGGGTTTAAAAAAAATCCACTGTCTTACCATATTTCCTATTGCACGATGCAGCTGAATTATTTGTGCGGCCGTTTGCTCTTCCCATTTTATACAACTCTTAGCTATAGATATTTTAGGAGCTGAGGGGAAAGAAATTAGAAAGCTTCATATTTTGTTTTGCATATTTTTGCAAACAAATAGCTGTACTATTTTATCCTATTTTAAACCCAATTTTATCCTGACCAATGGCAGATTTACCATCTAGCCATAGGTAACTTAGACAACAACTGGAGAAAAGATTTTTCTAAAACCCTCAATTTGGATTATTTATACTTTATTCTCAGTTGTCCTCTTATTTACCCATTGCACTGCAAACTGATAACATGTATTTATGAGCACAGCTGTAACACTTATGTCTGCATTACCACCACAAAGAGTAACAAACTCACTCAGATTTTGTGGCATCATTAGTGATTTTGATATTGTACAGGCAACTGGAAAAAGAAACATGAATGGAGTAAGTCTGAAGAAGACTTAACCCAACACAGCAGGAAGAAACTTAGTTTTCTAGCTGATAAAAGTAAAAATGAACAAGTTACATTAAATATGATGTGTACCTACCAAATGTTACTCCTCCTTTTGGTTGCTCTTTTTTATTTTTTAAACTTTCAGGCAAGTTTTTCAAAACTGATATCAGCTGCAAAATTAATTTTTGTACAGAATATTAGCAAAGCTAAGTAGAGTATATTTATTATCAGTAACAGTAAATCCAAGACATACAAATATAGTACTTAATTTTTCATCAGTGAAACTTTCCTGTGAGCTCTTAGAAAATTGGGTCAGCATATTCAGAAGACTTGTATCATACACACAAAAACATTAAAGGCATCCTTCCCACTGAATCACAATTTTAAAAAAAAAAAAACCAAGTATGCTTTTATGGATTATCACCTCTCTGGTATTAATCCTAAAGCAGGACAAAAGCTGATTATTAAGACAAAACCAGAGACATTCACTTCAATGAAAGAAGACTCAGCACTGTTTCCACACAAAGTTCTTCACCGAACAGAAACGGAACAGCAATGCACAGGACCAACGCTGACAGCTTATCACACACCACTCAGCTTTCCTCTCAGCAAGGCAAAGTGCTCACAAACACTAAATTTCAGTTCACTCTCCTCTTAACAGTTACAGTCAGCTCAGAACAAGATTAAAAAGAATTCTGTTTACACATGTTAAAAGTAAGGTACTCATCAGAAGTGACACTAGCTTGCAAGACTTTACCATGTTTGCACCCATCTTTGATAACATCGCTTCCAGCTCCTTCGCAGTACAGCGGGGAGGCACAGCAAACTCTTCTTGCTTAATAATTGGACCTACATCAAACCTATAAGGCAAAAACCATACAAGCTTATTGGAGGAGAAGCTATAACTCAATTAGCAGTTCAAAAGTCTACATCCAATACATTAACTCAGTCACTAATTACCCTTTTTTCCTCTGAAACTTTATTTTTCACAATTATCAATGTTTGGTTCATACGACAACACAGGGAAAAGAGTATCAGATATATCTTGGCAAGCAAGATTCATCTCAGCAAGCTGAGATTGATATGATGCACAATTTACAGTTCAGAAGTGTAATATCTCAGAAGAAACAACCTGAAGTACTCAGAAGAAATTTGTTTCGCACTTTCCTGAGATCTATTACCAGAAAGGCATCTAAGAAGGAAAAGATAACTACAATAATGTGTTTTCACAAGTCTTTTAAGCCAGAATTTGTGCTGAAACTAAGAGATACAATCTCTCTGTCATTCCTAGACAGGCAATTTCTTGTCCTCTGTTTCACTTACAGGAGGTTACAGGTGACTGAAGTCCGAAAACCCGTTCTCTTCTTCAGCCTACCCATTTAGCTGTGTGACTGTTTGCTCTCTGCCTGCTCCCTGTAGCAACGCTAAGAATTACAGAACAGGCCTAGAGTCTAGAGTGCAAATTACACACTCGCTAAAATACTGCATTTGTGGCAAGTCTCATATGGTCAGATGAAAGCTTCTAAGTGTTTTAAATTTTAATATTAAACACAAACACACATTAAAAAAAACAACCACACAACAACTGATTACATAAAAAGATTTAAATGATGACTTAAGTGGTGATGATTTAAAGTCCTGAGAAGCCACGAGTTGTTTTGGGAAGCATTTCTAACATACCTTTTTGGCCTTATTTCCATAATTGTCACCCCAGTCACTTTATCACCATGAAGCACTGTGTGGATTATTGGTGCAGGACCACGCCATCGTGGGAGACAGCTGGGATGGACATTCAGCACGCCACTGAATTGAAATATTTTAAAGTTAGAATAAGAACAGTACGTAAAGCTGAACCCATATGTAAATGTGCGTGCGACATTTACTACACTGAAACTTCTTTAAGAATTACTTGCTCAGACCTTCTGAAATATAAAGGTATATTTAAAGCAGTAAAAGGAATATTCACACTATTAATCGTAGTTTTCTCAGTGAGCACAGCAAGGAGAGGAGCGAAGGTAAACACATTGTACTGAACATTTGCATAGATCTCCATCGACACGTTAAAGAACAACAGCGAACCTCAAAACAACAGAAGTAGGGCTCAAGCTAAGCAGATGAACCCAGGGAAGAAGCTGACCTCACCTGCTACAAGTCACAGGTGCTGACTCAAAACCAGAGTCTAGCTTTGCTAACAAAGCAATGACAGATGTCCTGTCAAGTCACTTACTATGGGAACTGCAGAATAAGGTCCTCACTTAGGAGGCGTCCAAATGATGCCACCACACCCACATCAAACTGCCCCTCAGGTCCTGTGTGCGGCCACTCGTGAACAGGCAGCCGGAGCTCCCGGGCACAGCTCCTCACAGGCAGGTCCCCAGGCAGGCGGGACGGCAGGGTCACCACCTCCAGCCTGGACACGAGTGAGTCCTCGCTGGGCTCCCTGGGGTGCACAAGGCATTAAAGGCCTCATGTAGGCAGAGCAAGAGAGAGATGAAGGCCGGGTCACCCTCACCCCTTGCTGTGCCCTACCACAGCACCTGCA